TGTCTTATTTATAAAAGTTGCGTTTAGACTAATTTTATAAATTATGTATAATTGTTTCAGTAAGACTCAGCTACCTACTAAACACTAAGCTCATGCTGGGGAAAAGTAAGTTTACTGTAAGGGTCCATAGTTTCAAATTACCAGTGGAAGTTTTTGTAAAGCCTAAAGCAACTGCTAAAGTAATTCCTCCAACAAAATAAACAAACAAGCATGGGAAACCAATAAACTTGTTTTTTTGCTTTATGTGGTATATGAAAAATACAAAACAATGATACAGTTAGATTATTTGAATGAATGTAATCAAGAAAGGTTTCTGACCTCATAACCAAAAGCTTAAAATATTACAATACACATATGGATGAAAGAAATTTAAAAGATGCTATCAACTTCAAACGCTCATCGTTTTTTTAACTATATGAGCTAGGAACAAGGACAAAATGTGCAAATATCACATATATGCAGCTTTGTTTCATTTCGTATGTTATGCAATTTGGGGCAAAAATCAAAATTTGGGTCACATTTGGGATTTTTCTTAATACTTTATCCAAACCAAACATTAATAAAATATACATCAAAACAAAATCCTAAATCCAAACTTTTTAGCTGTTTTATTCTGAAGGTGATTTGAATGGAGAGTTCAGACAGAATTTTCTAAAAACTTAATGATATATCATTTGCTCTTGTAAGAAATACAACATAATTTAACGACAAGGGACCTATTAGTCCATTTACTCCTTCCCATCCACTAAGTTATAAAATAAAAATAAAACATCCAAAGCTAGCCCTTATCATTCGGATACTTATCAAGCTTTCCCTTTAACTCCCTTAAGTTAACTGTATTTAACACATACGAAGACAACCCATTCTAAAGGCCAACCACCTTGTTAGAAAAATTAATTTGTTTCAGATGAAGATGATATCTATCCTGCTAAAATTTATATTTGTCTCTCCTAGTCCTAACATTATCATCATTAAGTAAGAAGAAAAAGATGATGCATCAACACTATCAATTCCCTTAATGATCATACACATCTCAATCAGATCCCCACTAACTCCTTTTTTTCCTACTAAGTTGGAAAGGATTATAAGAAACTCTAATGTAATGTAATGGATAATCCAATAATAAATTCCATGGAGGCATATAGGCCTACTTAAAAATTGTAATCAAAGTAACCCAGTGAATATTCTTAACAGAGATTTTAGTCTAAATCTCAAAACTAATATAACTGAATAAAAGTACTTTACATTTCTCTCAGAACATTGGAACACCTTACACAAAATCATACTTTTAGTCCAAAAGAAGTTATTTCACATTATTTTCACTGATGCTTAATAATGGAGACAGACATTTGAAAGTTTGTTTCGTTTTTTGGGGAAAGCAACATGTGTGTGTGCATTTTGTTATAGCAAAGCCACATCAGGCTATCTGCTATGTCAGCCGAGAAAAATCGAACCCCTGATTTTAGCATTGTAAATCCGAAGACTTACCGCTTTTCCACCAGGGGACAACTGATAAACTAGAAAGAAGGTCAGTTAGTCAACATCACCCACTGCAAACTTTAGGAATATGCTAATCAAATAGTTGGATTTGACTGTTACTCTTATAATGCACTATAACCCCAAGTGTGAAGTGAGATTTTGTACGAAAAGGATGCAAACAATGGATCCTCAGACTGACATATCATCCCACATCTGAATATAAAACTACTTAAAAATCATTCATTTATTTTACTCCAGACAAAATGCAATAATTAAGGTGTCGAACATCTATGCTAGTTAGTTTGAAGACCTTTTTAGCTAAGAAATAAAATAAAATATGTTAGAATGAAGATTATCTGTTTACACAAGCCTCTTAGTAAAGTCCATTATGAAATCTGAATGAAATATGTTTGGTAAGATTGAAAAAGATACGTCATTTTATGTTTTTAAGCCTAAAATTTAAATTACCTGAAATAAGCAGTCTTATTCTAAGTTTAAAATTTTGTCACTAAAATGTTTCAGTGACACCTGGTGTCTTGTAGATACTGCTTAAAGAAAGTTACTGGATTTAATTAATAAGAATTTTTTTTTTATTATCATCATCATCTTTGTACATTTTTATTTGTCTCTATAGTAGAATGTTTTTCGTCAGAATATCAAACTACAAAGTGTCGAGCATCTCATTTGAAAAAATGACAAAATTAAAGAGTAGAAAAATTTAATTTAGATTATTTCTATAAAATGTATACAAGTTTATATTGTTTGTTGAAAAAATAAAATTCAATTAAAAAATTGTACTGACAGATATAATTTCACAATTAGCATGATTAGCACAATTACCCCGATTCACTAAATTCTTACCGCAGTTCGCCCTTAGCTTTGTCACTAACAGGTTGAAAGTCTCGAGCTTGAAGCTCTTGCAAGATACTTTCCGACATCCTGAGCATTTCATCAAAACTTACTCCACGACTAGAAGGACCTGAACCATAATCCTTAAGCTCTTGAATGGTAGCTACAAAAGAGAAAAAGAAAGGATTATCAAACTACTGAAGAAAAAACTAAAATTAGATGGTATTTTTTTGAAAGAAAGGAATGAACATTTACAGAACATTATACATTTCTCAAACACTGCCAAGTTCTCAGGAGTAACATTCAACAAACAGTTAACTTGGACTAACCACTTCAATATTATAAACATTACAATGAATTACCTCAAAAAAATAAGTACTCACAAAGGCTGCCAACCTGACACAATATTAGCAATCTAAAAAGTTTTCATCAAACCCTCTCTAAACTACATAAATATGAGAACTTGTAATATGTTAAAAAAACTATAGCAATATCAAAATAATATAATCAGATTGCAAATATTCAATCCCCAGCACTATTTAAACACAGTAACAAACCTACACTCAATTAAACACTACTTTATCTCTCAAGCCAAGAAATACTATAGAAAAGCAGAAAAGAAAAGAAACTCGCATATTAAACTCTTCCAAACACTAGCTGCAACACCAGCATCTGGATTAAATATGGGTCTCCATTTAATTTTATCACAAATCTGACTCTGATTAACTCATGTAATTCATTCCCCTGCAGGTCTGCACTAAGGGCACTGATTGGGTAGAATATTCAGTGCCCAAGCAGTGAATATGGGTTTTTCTCAGGGTACACCAGTTTCTCCCCTACAGGCAAAAAAGTGGCATAGGGTCATAATCCTTGCTGCCATGAAAAAGGTACCATTCATTAAATTTAAATTTCATTAAAATGTCTTCCCTATCTACTCTAATCTTATATTGATCCATAAGGTGTCTCCCCCCACCACACACACACATACAGGCATACTTGGTCACAGATTTGAACCCTGAATTCAAGGTTCACAGATCCAGCCTTGCTGTGTTTCTCTTCTTTTCACTGCAAGCAGCCTTAGTGACATCACCAAGCTCCTTGACAACAATGATCTACTTGACAAGCCTACGAATCACATGTCAGAACATCGGCACGTGCTACAAACTCTCTCTCTCCTTCCCTTTTCATCACCAGCTCGGTGACCGTAACCACACAACAACCACCTCAAGGAAAAACAAACCTTCAAGAGGCTCAGCTGCCTTAAGCCTATAAAGCCACTTTTCTTGTTGATTCAAATTTATCTTTTGTTCTGTAATCACACATGAGGTGAAGAGAAACAACAATTTCTGAACACTCCAGGTTGGCTTTCAGGCTCTAATTTGTTAAAGCTTGAAAGTGCTTTAAACCTAAATTCCTATCAAGAAGAAGATTATACTTTTCTATATTACACATGTTTTGTGAAAATGTAATTTGGCCTGAGTAACTGTTTTCCGGCTTTGCTTCAAACCACTAGTTCTTATTTTATAAATAAGTGATACAATTTTAAGATATTTATTACAAAAAGAATAACTGAAAATATATATATACGATAACCATACTATAAAATTAGTTTTTAATTTTTTTGTATTTTCTATCTATACACCAATTTTCAATTGTGTCTTAGCATCTATCTAAGTTTGTTTATTTTTGAAAACTCTCTCAAAACTGTGCACAAAACAAACTGACATTTTGCACTTTTGTTTCTGATCCACAAAGAGTTGAAACCAAGAAGACAATCAATCTACTAAAAAAATTATGTGTTTTTGTGAGGGGGGGGGGGGCTCAAATAGTTTCTGAAGAATTTCAGGTTTCACTGAATTAATTTACTTGAAATCTGGTATTAACATGTAAGAAGCCATTATAAACACCTTAAATTCAGATTTTAGAAATCTTCAAATATGTGTCCCCATACATCAGTTAAAGAAGGTGTTTTGGGGGACTTGATCCATTGATCTTAAAATTAGTAGGGATATATAAGGGATATTTCAAAATAGGTCACTATATTTCAATTTTTCATTACACACTCAATTGAGAAAGTGGGGTAGTTCTGTGGTCTCAAAGGATTGGATGCATGGTTTTCACTTGCAAATAGAAAACATAAGTAAACACTCATTCAACACAAAGTTTATAAAACTGCTTTCCAAGCATTTCTACGATTAGCTTGCTAGTATATTATTAATAATAGAAATACTATAGTTGACTGAAATTAAATCAATAAATTAAAATAATTGTTTAAACAATATGGTGAACATTGTACAGATAATTAACTTAATTAAAATAAGTTGACTGAAATTAAATCAATAAATTAAAATAATTGTTTAAACAATATGGTGAACATTGTACAGATAATTAACTTAATCAAAATAAGTTCACTGAAATTAAATCAATGAATTAAAATAATTGTTTTGAACACAAGTTTTTTTTTTATCAATAGTGAGCCAAAATTAAAATTTAAACACTATTTCTTACAGTTACGGTATTTGTTGGAATACTACTTAAGACTTAAAAAGTTCTAGTTGTTTAAGAGATTTTATAAATTAATAAATATTAGCCACTGCTCATATGTTTAAAATTTCAGTTATATATAGTAACAGACAAATGTCAGCACATAAAGGTATAAGTACAGCACACACTAGTATCACTGATGTTTCCTAATCCAGCCACAGATCCAGCCTTCAAAGCTTCAAACCTAGGATTGAGTTCTTCATTAATTTTGTTTTGGATATCCTCAATTTTTTGGTGAGTCCTCTCTGCCTGATCCAGTGTTCCCCTAAGCTGGCTTTCCACTTTTCGTAGATTGTCTCCTACTCCTTGAAAAAGTAAAAGAAAAACACCTTAGAGTTAATTGAAAAACACAAGTTTGTACAACATTGTTATTTTTTGTAGAAAAATTATGACCTTGATCTTATTCCTCTTATAACAAAAGGTAAAATACTATATTTGTGAGACAGTAACACTTTTACTAATATACATATTTTGTAATGAAGTACTGGACTGTGGTCATTTATTGCAATAGAGTTGTTTAACCATTAAACGTTTATCTTTGACAGTTTGCCACACTGGAAATAATATTCTGAAAGTATGCAAAGAAAAAAAGTACATGGACACAAATAAGAAAATACATATATACATATTTTATACATACATACAGATACATAAATTCCAAAAACTGTGTGTACAACTACAACACAGTGTTTAAGGTTAAAGTTGAAAATAAAAAAACTTGAATAATACAAACCCCTGGGAAGGCGACTTAATTCGTTATTGATGACATCCAGATTTTGTTTACTGTTTGCATTGTCTTCTTGTATCTTATTCAATACATCATTTTTTTCTTTAAGGTGTCGTTGAAGTTCTGATTAAATAAAAAAAACAAGCAAATTCGGATTTTTATTAATGTATAAAAAAAAAGTCACTTGTTTTCACTATGAAACAACTGTGTATGCCTACAGGTAACAAACACTGAGATAAATGGCTTTTACTGAACAGTCACTAATTCTAACAACTTATGAATGAAAACAAAGAATGTAAAACAATAGTGTCAACCACACTATATCTGCTATATCCAGGGCTCGTCAGGCCAGCTGAGGTATGAATAATACAGTATCAGGTGAGTCACTATTTATATTATCAAACTGCATGAACAATAACTGTTATGGTGTGAACTAGATTAAATTGTTGAAGTGTAATTTTTAAGAATTTCATTTAAGCCGTATACAAATCACAATTAGGGTAAAAAGTAATGATGCATTGTTATATATATATATATTTTAACACCAATTATTTACTATTATTCATTTATTTGTTACTTTTTATAAAATTAATTTTACTCATTGCTCTGGAAAAACCCTTAACTGCAAACTGTTGCCTTCAGGATATATATTTTTGTCAGAATCTCTCTGTTTGTTTATTTGTTATGAATTTCGCATAAAGCTACACAAGGGCTAGCTGCGCTAGCCATCTTTAATTTTGCAGTGTAAGACTGGGGGGGGGTGGAAGCAGCTAGTCATCACCACCAACCGCCAACTCTTGGGCTACTCTTTTACCAATGAATAGTGGGATTGACCATCACTTATAATGCCCCCACAACTGAAAGGGCTAGCATGTCTGGTGGAACGGGGATTCGAACCCACAACCCACAGATTGTGAGTTGAGCCCCCTAACCATCTGGCCATGGCGGGCCTTTACAGAACCTCTCTTCTAGCCAGCTTGAAATAAAGAAAATGCATTACAATGCCTATTAGCAACATGATCTGTAATCCAATGACATACATGCCTCAAAAGGATGTAATCAGGATTGATAGGACATCTCTTCAGGAAGTGGCACTTACAGTTATATACTTATGCAGTTTTTGTTTTTCGTTACAAATGTAACTGCATAGTCTTGCCACACAATATCAAAATATAAAAATGAAAATGGGGAGAAAATTTAAAAAAATCCCTATAGTATGCCTAAAATGACAGGTTAAAAAATATTTTTTTTTTCCAGAATAAAGAGTTAAAACCAGTTTTTTTTCACTTTTCAATGAGCATGGGGTAAATGACACCCTTTGATCCAGTGGAAGATTCCAATAAGTTTCACAAACAGTAAACCCAGTTTTTTTCACTTTCAAAACATAATAAAAAAACAAGAAAAGAGCCTTTCATACTTGCTTCACTTTCATTATATAACTTGAAAACATTTGTGTTAATGTAATAAAAAATAAATAGCTGGATTTGATACTTCTTACTTTAATAACTAAACTAACAGATAAAAAGCAAATAAACGAGCACACTTATTAGCAAAATAATATAATTTGTTACTAACTTATACTATAATCCCACACCACAGTTATTAGCAACTCTGTGATATAATAACATATTTTTGTTACTTTACACTACAACCAAAAGGAGTTTTTATCAAACAAAGTTCATAAACATATAACAGACATGGAAGATCCTGAAAAGTTAAACCATTATTGAGTCATGTGTAACACTATGTAAATCAAATTAACTTCAAATGTTTGTTTTCTTCACATTCTTCACAGGTGTGTAAAATATAGCATTTCAGATCTATCTTTTGTTTCCCACATGTCACTACCCAATAAACGTTTTGTACAATAACTTAATTCATAAGATTATAAGAAATTCTAAGAAAAGCCACCAAAATTTAAAAAAAAAACAATTAATTTTCACATATTTTTCTCACTTTCAATGTTTAAACCATGAGACATCTCACCTGGAACGTCTTCATCTCGTAGCTTTACAGCTTCTTGCAACAGTTCTTCACTTTTAGCACGAGCTTTTTCAGCCTGCTTTGTTAAAGCGTCATCTGTTCCTGGATATGCCTACAACATTAACATCCTAGCTGTATTACTCAATCTTAGTAATAGACATTAGCTGAAAGCTTTGTTTAATTTGAACAGTTACATCCGCTGGGTAATGAAACAATATGGTGAACATTGTACAGATAATTAACTTAATTAAAATAATTCCATATAAGTGCTAATTTGACTGACTGTGGATTCATACAAGTGCTAATTTGATGACTGTTGAATCATACAAGTGCTACTTTGACTGACTGTTGAACCATACAAGTGCTACTTTGACTGACTGTTGAACCATACAAGTGCTACTTTGACTGACTGTTGAATCATACAAGTGCTAATTTGACTGACTGTTGAATCATAAAAGTGCTAATTTGACTGACCGTTGAACCATACAAGTGCTACTTTGACTGACTGTTGAATCATACAAGTGCTAATTTGACTGACTGTTGAATCATACAAGTGCTAATTTGACTTACTGTTGAATCATACAAGTGCTAATTTGACTGACTGTTGAACCGTACAAGTGCTAATTTAACTGACTGTTGAATCGTACAAGCACTAATTTGACTGACTGTTGAATCATACAAGTGCTAATTCTTTATTTTTAGCTGTTAATG